CAGAGCCACATTTCTGTCTGGCTCTGCTCTTCAATAAACTACAACCTTCTTTCTAAAGCAGTCTCCATTTTCTTTATTCCCGTCTTGGACTGGAGCCTGATGAAGATTTTTCTTTCAACAAATCTTAGTTTAAGCTTTCAGATATTTATACACACACATACACACAGATTTTACATAGCTAAAGAGAGAAAAGAATCAAGATGATTTAAAACTCTCATTGGTGAAACTAATCCATGCTTATTGCAGACTGAAAGGTAAAAATAATGTGATGAACAGTTATTTAATAAGACTTTGAGCAAAGAGGCAGCTGCAAAGCAGTGGTAAGATGTAGGGCTGAGTCACTCAATATTTTTTTATTTTCTGCTGAAGCCACAAATTTGTATCATTTTTGTCTAATAAAATCCATACAATTTAATTGCTATCTTTGTATATCACAATATTTTATTACTCAACTTTGGTTTACACTCTATGTCAGAGGACATACCGACTATACTTCTCGATCTATAATCCATATGCATATGCCTTTCTGATGTGGAAGGACAGCATTTGCTACATTTCTCAAAGGAAAAAAAATAAGACTAAGGAACAGGAATTCTGACATTCATGAAAACTAGGGGAAATCCCTCAAATGGACAAATTCTGTCTTCTTAGTAGTGTGATCAAACTGAAACATGCACATTCAAACTTCTCTTAAGTTTCAATTGGTAATTATGATTCATGATAAGAAACTCAAATTAATAATCTGCCTACAGACTTTGGCTTTCAGTACCTGGCTCATTGCTAAATTTTCTGTGGTGCTAAAATAATAGATTTCCTCCTCTGTAGTTTGTAGCTCAAGATTTCTACCTTGGTGTGTTGGAAGTGAATTCTTCTTTCTCCTCTGCTTTTGGCTTTAATTATCAGCTTTAGTGAATTTAGCTTACTGTTCCTTCCACGTCTCAGTCTTTCCCTACCAAACCAGCCCCCTCGTATCCCATCATTCACTGAAGCCAGGAAACTGGACGACTGCCTCTGCAGAAAGCATTTATGACTAAACCACTTCAATAGAAACTCCAGGAGTCTGCTGAATGGAAAGACTCTGTGGGTCTGGCCTGCAGAGGGCTGGAGGTTAGGCAGGACATTCAGCATCTTCTCCATTTTCTCCCTACACAGTTGGGAAGAAAGTTCTATTCAGCCCTTCTGGTTCGGCACCAATTACTAAGTTAAGCATGCTGTATCAGCATGAGAGATCCAATTTAGTGGGTCTGAGAGAGCAGGGAATGTCTTCTAACAGTTTGACAGGAATAATTCTATCCAATCCTGGTAAGATAGGTTAGAACCCTACTAGACCAAGAAAATCCTTGTTAGCCAAATGGGCAGATTGGATCTTGGAAGAATGATTGCCATCAAGATTTTTTAAATAATAATCCTAATATTCTTGAGCAGAGTCCACATTATATTGGTTGTTTACTGCATTTTCTAAGAGGAAGCCATAGCAGGTACATGAAAGAGCATGAATGCTATTGCTAAAGCAAGGACTCACTTCACTAGAAAGCCTTGTCATAGCATGTCCTATTTACCACTCAGCCTTGGTGTTCAGGGTAAGTTATTCCTAAGCGAATAATTATTTTACTGTTCTGGAAGATATTTTGAATATCAGTTCTAGCGACTCATTACTGAGACAGCCAATAACTTTGTTATACTCCAAGGGGTGAAAAGACACTCCAGTAATCCAAGCGAAGAATTTGTTTCTTAACGGAGGCATGCAGCACCATTCGTGATAAGCAAAACATCACTTCCCATAGCAGCATCATTTAACTTTTGGGGACTGAACTTGTTGTTAACCTTAATCCAAACCATTATTGAATCTCAGCATCAATTCAACCCATTTGCATGTTCACCTGATTTTGATGTGTGAGGAACTAGATTTTGCAACAAAACCATTTACTAAAAATGAAAATAATCTTTCCAAGGCTTAACCCCCTGCAGAAATTCAGCACACAGCCTAACTCTGGAAACATAAGAATCTATCATAACTCTAACATCCATTCAGAGAAACTCCCAAATGTACAACATACCAGAATGCAGAACAATTTTTCTAAGAGTCCAAAGGCGTCTGCAATAGCAGAGATCTCATTCTGCTTCTACACTCATGCAATATTATCCAATCTGTTGTTATTGAAAACTTCAGTTCATGCTGCAGTGTCCAAGACCTTTATACAACCTACTATATAAAACAAACAATTATACAAAAGTTCTTCAGGCCACCAGCCCATCTGTTTTTCTAGTCTTTACTATATACGTGTAAATAAGATCAAAATATTTTTCAATTTTCCCCACAGAACTATTCTAATGTTTGTAGCATTATGACCATAGACATGTCTATAATGCATTGCAATGAACTAGACCAGAGGTGTCAAACTGCCGGCCCACAGGCCAGATGTGCCATGCCGAAACCGTGCCCACACCATTGTGGGCAAAGGAAAAAAAGTCCCAATACATTGCAACACCTCACGTGACATTGCGAGTTTGACACTCCTGAACTAGACGTTCGAGATGATCAATCACTGTTTTCCTCGGGCTGTTAAATTTTGAAGCTAAATAAAGGAGTTGGGAAGCAGAATCAGTTGTGGAAACTCCCTGTGGGAAACAGATCGTGTTTATGGACCACAGAAGTGCTGCTGATATTTCACAGGAAATACGGTGAGGGAGAGCTTAAAGAGAGGCCTAAAAGTTAGAGTAGAATTAGAGCATTGTTACATAAACAAATATGCCAGCAAATGGGATATTTTTCTGACAGACACTTAAAACGATAGCTGGAGGGGCTCACTCATTCACACACCCGTTATCCAGCATAGAGATAGGGATAAAAAGTAAGGCTAATCCAGAGGAATTAAAAAAAACAGGAATATGAAAACTTATTTTTGTGGATGCTTCACAGAGAAGAGGGGAAAGGTTCTAAGGAATTAGAGGCCTGGCACCTGGAAGACAGCCATTTAACAAAAATAATTCCAAATGTGCAAAAGAATTTAGGAAATCTAGCAAAATGACAAGACAATTTAAGGCAGCATTGGGTGTAGGGAAATTCTGAGGATTTAACAAGGAACCCAGAGACAAAGCAGTCATCCAGCTGCGGCAAAATCATTTGAGGTTAGCATCATGGAGGAAGTAGGACTCCAGATCATATGTTCAAGGGCAGTCAACATTAGCTCATAATTTCCAGTATTTCAGTAGAATCTAGTAAAAAAAACCCACCCTGATTCTTTAACTTATTTCCGTGGAAGAAGTTAGCAGTTGTATCAAATGATATTGTCAAATGAATCATATGAAATATTTATCAAGGTACAGGTTATTGTGAAATGATCCTTAACATCTAGGGTGATCTTTTTGTATAACTTTTCGTATCCTTCTTGCTACAAACATGCCTCACACTTCCTTGACATGTTGCAATTAAGGACTTATTAAGTGGTTTTCCCAAGTTTGCTGCCAAGAAGGAAGTCCTGAAAAAACACTAGGAGCATAAAGGATTAGCAAATTCTGGAGGCAGAAGAGCTGGCACGCACATACAAAAAAGATTGGCTTTCTTTCTTTTCTCCCCACTTCTGCTGCCACACACTGAATGGCAAGAGAAGGAGAGGAAAGGGTCTTGGGCATAGGGAGAGAGTTCTTACTCTCCTGCTGCCGAAAGACAAATGGCCCTGAGAATCAGTGGCCAGAGGTGTGCTTGCAGTAGTCTCTGTGGCAGAGGTCCCCAATCTTTTGGGCAACAGGGACCGGTTCTGTGGAGAGAGGTTTTTCCACAGACTGGAGGATGCACGTACTGCCTGCATCCTGAGGATGGGGCTTCACTTATTTGCGTGGACTGTGTTATGATTCCTTGCCAAACAATGGATCCAGCAGCTGAGTCTGAGGAATCAGATGAGGAGGAAGAGCCTGGAGTGACATCAGAGTCAGAGGAAGGCTCTGAGGAGCTCCAAGACTTACAGTCAGATGAGGAGCCTGGCCCTTCTACTCACGCTCAGGCTGAGACACAGCTGTGCTGGGAGCCTGAGTTGGACAGTGATGAAGAATACTTGGGACAAATCCAGGATGCACGAAAGCACAGGCAAGACAAGTGAGTAGGACAGAGGAATGCAATGGGGTAGCTCCAAAGGCAAAGGAGAAGGCATTAGGAAGCCACACCTTGGCTGAATTATAAAAGGGAAGGTGTGGGAGGTGCTGGTTGCCAAAGGCAACCGTTCGTGTTGAGAATCGAGTTTCTGTGGACTGTGTTTGTTTGCCTTGGACATTGACTCAGGTCTTTGAGAATAAAAGGGATTGTTTTTTCTTGCAGTTCCTGCCTGTTTCTTGGAAGAGGGGTTTCTCCTTGTGAGCATAACAAGGACTCACGTAGGCTGGGACAGAACAGACCGGTTTCTGGCATGCCGTGGCCTGGTGCCGGTCCATGGACCAGGGCTTGGGGACCCCTGTTCTAGGGACCAATAGCAGTGCCCCCCCCAACTTACCTTGAAATGATTCAGTAGTCTGATAACTCAATACACTTTCTATTGGCAGATGCTGAAAAACACCACTTTGAAGCAGAACAAGAAAAGAGGAAAGGATTCCAACTGTGGGCCACAGTTGGATTTGGTTGTGCACTCATGGCTTAAACAAATAGCTAAAGGGGGTGTCTTTATGATAAGTTAAGCAGGATCTGCTTCTTCTGTTAGCCACTCTTCCCCACCGGTCTGTTTTTGTGAAAAATAAATATCAATAAATTCAGCCATTTCTTGCTATTCTCTGTGTGAACTCTAGCCCAGGTTCTACTCTGTGTTTTTTCCCCCCAAGAAAATCTACTCTAAACCTAATGATCCCTTAGTTTTGTGCATATTCCCATGGGGAAAACAAATGAAGAAACTTATATACCAGCCTTGGCAACCTAAATAAGGAATGAGCCATGACACCTGCAGCACATCACAATACATGGGCAAGTTGTATAATACTCCTGCCTTAAGCCCCCAGAGGGAACATGGGAGGGGGTGAAGAGCAACATCAAGCACACACAATGGGTTAAAGCCTTCAATCCTTGCTTTAATATCTAAGTCCCGGGCACACCCAGCAGAGCTCTCCAAGGCATCCTGCACCATGTCGAAGAGTTCTGGAGGGGACAGATGGCTAAATGAGCTTGGCTACAAGCTGGGCCAAACGCTGGGGGAGGGCAGCTATTCAAAAGTAAGGGTAGCCACCTCAGCCAAGTACAAAGGCCCTCTAGCCATCAAAGTAGTAGATCGACGCCGGGCACCCCCTGACTTTGTACACAAGTTTCTCCCACGAGAGCTGTCCATCTTACGGGCAATTCGTCATCCCAACATTGTACGTGTTTTTGAATTCATTGAAGTTTGCAATGGGAAACTTTATATTGTGATGGAAGCTGCTTCAACTGACTTGCTACAACTGGTGCAACAACTGGGGAAGCTACCCTGCATCCCGGAAGCTCGAGACATCTTCCTCCAAGTGGTGAGTGCTGTACGTTACTTGCACGACCGGAATTTGGTGCATCGGGACCTTAAATGTGAAAATGTACTACTCACCGCAGATGGACGTCGAGCAAAGCTGACTGACTTTGGCTTTGGCAGGGAGTCACGTGGGTATCCGGATCTGAGCACCACATACTGCGGCTCTGCTGCCTACGCCTCCCCAGAAGTGCTGCTGGGCATTCCCTATGATCCCAAGAAGTATGATGTGTGGAGTCTGGGAGTAGTGCTGTATGTGATGGTTACTGGATGCATGCCTTTTGATGACAGCCACATTCATAGTATGCCCCGCCGCCAAAAGAAGGGGGTGTTCTATCCTGAGGGTCTCCCTCCCTTACCTGAACCCTGCAAATCCCTCATTGCCCAGTTGCTTCAGTTTAGTCCAGCTTCCCGACCTGGAGTAGGGCAAGTGGCCAAAAACAGCTGGCTGAAAGGAGGAACTTTAAACAAAGAAACCTCTTCTAAATAGCTCTGACCTAGGACCATTGAACACAGCTGGAGCAAGGAAAACAAACCAATGCTAATGCACTATGGACAAGGGTGGAATGCCAGAGCAAGCTGGGATTACAGAAAGAGGAAAGAACTCACCTGCAACATTCAGACAACCATTCTGGATTACGGGAGAAAGACTGACACAACAGTATGAAGTTGAAGGAGACTGAATTCAAGGACTTCCATGATAGTAGGAGAGGCAGTGAAACAGTGATTGGAACAACACCTCAAACCTTGCACAAATGGGCAAAAGTGCAACTTGTGGCAGATGAAAAGAATTGTGACCCTTGCCAAAAGACTTGGACATCATCACAGAATCTACACTTGTCAATGTGTAGGTGAGGCAATGAGACTTACAACAACATAATGTTGTCTAAAGTCTAATTCACAAATAAACCCTGAAGCTTCCATCTGTTGAGACTTCCATGTGCTTTTAGTCCTTTGCACCCTGGGTTTCTTCCCTTTAGTTAGATATATATGAGAATTTTGGCCTTTTGCAGATACACACTCACAAGTTCTCTTATTCTCAGAGGGACCTCCTTGTAGGAGATCCACAAGATGCTGAGATGAGGGAAGTGGGCTTGAACAGAGAAAACCCTCATTTGGATCTCAATTTAGTTTCAAAGCTTGTTCGCTCCCAGCTGAAGTCCCTTCAGAAGTCAAATCAATTAACCCTCCCATATTGTAATCAGATTCTTAAAAGAGATAATTTTAAACACCTACTGCAGCATGTATGAGTGTATGGGAGGAAGAAGGACTCTGTGTGGAAGTCACCTGATTAAAATAGGATATTCTTATCAAGTATAATATCTTTGTACTTTAAAACTCTCTTAAAATCAACTAACTTAAAGTATTTATTGTGAGATTAAGGGTTGCACTGGTATCTTTAAAGAAAATGAGCCACAGTTGCAAGTCTATGCTTATATCTCTATATCTGTTTTAAAAACCTCCCTTTTTATAACCCTGTTTTCCCTTAATTCGGGATAGAGTCAGGGTGACTGGATGAAGCTGAGCATTTACTGACCGGATGCCCTTCCTGACATCTACACGGAGTTCACAGATATTTTTTTCTTTGCACCCTAGGAGAGAAACATCTGCTGCTACCTAGGATTGAACTCTCAACCTTCTGAGTGGGAGGCGAGCACCTTAACTATGATATAGATATATAATGACAGCTATAGCTATACAGATATATCTATATCTAAAAGGAATCACAAGTAAATTTTATTGGAATTAAAGAATATATAAATATAGACTATAAACCTAAACTGTGTATAAAAAAATAAAAATAAAACTTATGACAAGACATCCACAGAAGGCTAAAAATTGCACTTCTGTATTAAAGCAAGTGGCTAAGAGTACAAACATTTTTGCTTTATTAAACAGTAGCCTCATCTCACTTCGTATGGCAAAATCCCAATCCCAAATTGCCCCAAAACTGTTATGGTTTTCATCTTGCCCCCGGTCCATGAAAAAATAATCTTGAATTGCCTTTAAGCTATATTGGTATCAACACAGAATTTCCCCCATAAACTGTCACGGCTGCTTCAGGATATATAAAACCAGTAACAATTAATCACCTCCTATGTTGGAAGTAAGGTCAAGTGATCAGCTGAGGTATAATCAGAGGTATATTTAGCACATGTACCCCCCTCTCCTTTGGTGACTAGCCAACCTCTACTGCAGCAATTACAGAGTAGTTTAAACCTAGTACAGCATAAATAATTAAATAATTCTATTTCTTTCATTTGTAAAGGTTTTATATTGCTGTAATTCCCTCTCTATGAGGGAAATAGGCAGTTTAAATTATATATATATATCTTTGGTTATTCAGGTTTTCTCCCATGTAAAACTGGAAGTGTCTTGGCGACGTTTCGATGAAGTCCCATTCGTCATCTTCAGGCTGGTGTTTTCAGCTTCGTGCTTCGAGGAGCAATGTGTGGTCTTAGCACGAAGCACGAAGCTGAAAACACCAGCCTGAAGATGACGAATGGGACTTCGTCGAAACGTCACCAAGACACTTCCAATTTTACGCGGGAGAAAACCCGAATAACCAAAGACCTACATACAAACACCCGCGAAAACCTCAGAACATATATATATATGTTTTCTGAGGTTTTCGCGGGTGTTTGTATGTAGGTCTTTGGTTATTCGGGTTTTCTCCCACGTAAAATATATATATAATCTTAACTGCCTATTTCCCTCATAGAGAGGAAATTACAGCAGCTGTTTGGACTCATTTGGTCATCCAAAGGAGTGCAGTTTGATTTTATTTCTTTCTAACAATACCTTTTATAAGAAACATAATTTTAATATTCAGTTATCTATCTCGTGCACAAGAGTAGTATATTCTTTATTTAAGAAAATTTATGTGGTCACCCAAGCCACTCTCAGTGACTCCAGGCATCTTTGAAAGATTTTACCTTAAAAACATTGTCATTCACATCCAGCCTTTTCCCCGTCTCCCCAGACTCACTAGCCCTTTATGTTTTCAGGTTGGGATTCTTAATTTTTGACAAAAAAGACACTCCCCCCTCCCCCCGCCGCCATAATTTTATTTAACTAGATGCCATCAAAACGGTGTTGACTACTGGAAATTTCCTGGATTATTCTCTGCAATTTTCTTGGCAAGGGTTTTCAGAAGTGGTTTCCCCTTTCCTCTGTCATAGGGTTGGCCAATTGGCCCAAAGTTACCCCTCTGGGTAACCCAAAGTAGGATTAGAACTCATGTCTCCTGTTTTCTAGTCTGACATTTAAACCTTATACCGAACTGGCTCTCTTCTTCATTATGGAACCTTATTTATAGAGTTATCTCCTTTCTGCAATATATTAGGCTCCAACACAGATACCGTTATTTTAGACACATTTTGAAAACTTCTTTTAATATATGTTGGCATTTTTCCTCCTAGGAGAATTAATGCAGTAAAGAGGTTTTCAAATAAGACACTCAATAATTTGTTTCAAAGAACTGGAAAAAATATTGGTCAGAACTGGTTGCAGCTAACAAGAGATTTTTGTTCAATGTGATTCTTGCCTCTAGGCAGAGGAAGGATGCTTCATGTTGGCAGCCGTTTTTAAAATGAACTATGGAGAAAAAGGGACCCACAGACCACCCACAGACTATAGCTCCACCTCTACAATCCCATTTCTTTGTAGTTTGATACCTGTTTTCTTCCAGTACCTAAGAGAAAATGCCTCTGCTTATACTGCCAAAGTTCTGGAATCTTTTCACCAACACTCATCCCCTTTGGCTGCTTGCACTGGGGAGAATAAAACCACTTCAGTATTATATAATTGAGTAAACAATCATAATTATGTGAGCGTTTCCCAGTCGGGCGAGCAAAATGTTAAACTGATCGTTATAGCAACGAAGCATATGCTTAATGATTACAGGCCCGCCTTGCGTGTTTTGATCCATTTGTAAGGCACTTTAAGCCTGTAGCTAAAAATATTCAGTCCACTTTGACTTTATCAAATCTGTGTTTCCAAGCAAGCAAATCCTAAAGTATACTACTCCAAAAGTTAGGAGGAATTCTCATTTTTGCTGTGGACATGCTTCATGTCAAAACTTAGATGTGGTATTTTTTAAGGTATGAAAAAAACCTTCAAGAGCAAAACAAATAAGGGGGAGGGAGAAGAGTTTCAAGATGGCTAGGCCTGACCACTGGATGTCAGTCCTTCAAACCACATATCTCCACTTGTACAAAAAGCCAGATTCTTTTGTGAGAATACTTTAGGGAGCTTTAAGCCTTTTCCTCTATCTATATGGCCTACCCAGTTTAGACCTTTAGACCGAAATGTTGAGTACAAACTCAGAGGGTCACACCATCCAAGGATGTTTGCTGCATGGGGCACTGCTGAAGTTTCATCTTGCTACTTCTGCCTATGTAGACTTTCTTCTGTGGCGGCACCTTTGCGCTGGAGTTTTCTTCTTTCTGTTAGCTATGAACCCATTCTCTTTTTTTTTTTATTGAAAATTTTTATTTTTTAAAACATACAATCATTTATAAAAATACAATAAAATTTTAAAATAGAGAACCCCCCCCCTTACCCTCCCTCCCACCCCCACCCCCCCTCCCTTCACTTCCCAGAGCAGAATACAGGGTTAAGAAAAAAAAAGAAAAAGAAAATTATAATAATTAAAAAAAAGAAAAAAAAAGAGAAAGAAAAAAAAATCATAATTAACCTTTAACTCCATAACTTATAAAACAATTCTCTATAATATTTGATATTCATTCATAAAATAAATAAAACTTTTTAATTCCATATTTTTTCTGAATATAATCTATCCACCTTCCCCATACAGTAATATATCTTTCTTGTGTATGATCCTTTAAATAAGCAGAAATTTTTGCCATTTCTGCAAAACTAGATACTTTAAATATCCATTCTTCTAAAGTAGGCAAAGAATCTTTCTTCCAATATAGACCTACTAGTAACCTTGCTGCAGTTAATAAATTCAACATCAAAGTAGTTTCTTTTTCATTTAAGTCAACAAAAATACCAAGTAAAAATAGTTGAGGAGTAAACTTTATCTTCTTTCTAAAAATCTTTTGAATGTTCCACCAAATCATAATCCAAAAAGCCTTTACTTTTTTACAATTCCACCAAATATGAAAGTATGTCGCATCATTATTGCCACATCTCCAACATTTGGGCTGTATGTTGGAATACATACAAGATAATTTTTTAGGATCTAAATGCCATCTATAAAACATTTTATAAAAATTTTCTCTCAAATTTTGAGCTTGTGTAAATTTAACATTTCTTATCCAAATTATCTCCCATAAATCCAATGAGATCGGCTCCTGTATATTCTGAGCCCATTTAATCATACAATCTTTAACCAATTCTGTTTCCGAATCTAACTCTAATAAAACATTATATATTCTTTTTATATGAGCCGGACCTTGGTTTTTAATCTGAATAACCAATTGTCTATCTTCTAGTGTTATTCCCTCTTTCTTGTCTACAGTCCATCTATCCATTATTTGTAAATATTGAAACCATGACTGTAGAATATTTTGCTGCCTTAATACATCTAGGGATTTCAAATGCCAATTCGAACCAGAACAAATTAACAATTCTTTATATGAAATTTTATCAAAATTTGTCCCCTTAGAGGTTCCCTCAATTGCATGTCTGGGAATCCCCCAGATAGGTATTTTATAATTTAATCTATAATAATACTTCTTCCAAACACGAAGTAAGGCATTCCTCAAAATATGTGATTTAAAAGTCCGATCAACTTTCTTATTAAAAATTAAATATGCATGCCAACCATATATTAAATCCCAACCTTCCAAAAAAAGAATATCCATATTTGTTAAATTAAGCCAATCACTTAACCAAGTTAGGGCGGCTGCATCATAATATAATTTCAAATTGGGT